TAGAAAAAAAATTTATCTATCGACTTATAGAAAATAAGGTTCGCTGGTTTTCGTTTCATAAGCATGATAGGAACAGTCACCCGCATTGTCAGAAAATCTTGATATCGTTATTTTAAACCACTTTGAAAGCAAAAATCAAGATCACTTCTCAATTTGGTGTGGTCGATTACCACTATGTTTACCATTCTTTTTGTAATGATTTGAAGTTCAATAGTGAAAGCATAACTCAAAACCCAATATCAGATGTTTCTGAATGATTATTTACGAAGACTCGAGCAAAATTTTATTAGATCGGCGACTTATTGAACAATCAAACTTTCACTTTGATTTATAAGGTTGAATGTGCTTTGCTCAACGATCAAAAGCACGGCTCTTGAGTTCTTAATGTTTATAGAATTGCTTGAAAAAACATCCAAACATTATATTTATTTTAAATAGATAAAAGTAACTACTATCAGTTCTAAGTACTTGAAGAGTTATTTCAATACTAGGAAAGATTTATCTTCGCAAGTGTGCAAGATCTTGATTTCCTTTAACGAAGAATTTTCATTAGAAATAGATACCAAACTTGCTACTATACATCTATTTATGCCTTTCAAATAGTGTTTATGAAATTATTATAGAACCTAAAGTGACGATAAATATGGTCTTCAGCAGCTGGAAAAAACCTAGATAAACAACAATGATGAACTCGGCAAAGATTTCCGTTTATCTCTCTTTTAAACAAAATCGAGTAACTAGTATATAGATTTCTGCAGATGAGTATTATCTTGCAAATATTCTTCAACTAAAGAAGAAAATGCTGGCAAGCTAAATCGTTCGGTCCGTTTATGAAGGATTAATTATGGTACGAGCAAAGGCTTTCTAGATAACAAAACCTGTTTTCCATCGTTTTTTTTCTGAGCTTATGTTTCATAGGCACTCTAGAAATAGTTTATTTATTTATAGAAGTTTTATCTTTTCGCACTGCAATCTTGCATCCATTCCAAAATAAAATTATAGAATTCAAATCCAAAGACTTGGCTATTGTACTATTGTGTCGTCGAATTAAACATCTTACCACATGTACAACTGTTGATGTAAAAAAAAAATGCAAAAGAATTTCAAATGTACTTTCATGTACAGATGCGAGAGAGAAAAGGGCTGTGATCAACTATTCAAGCAAACGCCGTATATATGTTTGTAGTTATTCGTCGTCATCTCTATGCTGTACCAACAGTAATATTCGCTTTGAGAAAGCTGCCTAGCTGAGGTAGTTGACAAAATTAACTTATTGTTAATCCGTTTCAACACATGCACGTTTTTTTTTCTTCTATAAAGTAATCCGTGCATGTTGTCTCTCAAATAATTCCTTTTCTATTAAGCTACGTCAAATATGATACGAATAAAAAAGATCCTTTGATTTAAACATGTTTTCATGACATGGATAAGGTGAAGTAGAACACAAAGGAGTAATATGAGATGATTAAAATAAAATATGAGACTGGCTGGCTTCTAGTAAAAATAAAAAGAATAGTTGCCAAGATATACGAGAAAAAAAGCGTCAATAACGATGATATTTGTTGATGACATTGAGTTTTGTGTTAGAATCGGTGGTCGTTCGTTTAAAATGTGCGTGAGTCAAGTACATCTTGCGGCATTGGTCTAATGTACGTTGGTTGAGAGAAAACAGCAGAACTTGTAGCCATGTAAGACGTATCTCGACTCTTGCCGGGATAGTGACCTAAATTTATAAATACTTGCCAATCCCGATAATTGCAGCATGCTTACCTCTGGATTTCATTTCACGAGCTTCTTGACAAAGTGCACATGAACTACAACATAGTGTTGCCGGGACATCGCCACATTTTGGGTCTTCTCGAAGGCCATACATTTTTCGAAATTTTTCTCTTTTGAAATAGTGCGGTAACCAGTATTGATAAGAGCCACCTAGTGCCCAATACACACAGCACATCACCCAGCAGCTGCTACCATCTAATTTCTTAGCATTTGAGCCGAAGAGACATGATGGACACCAATATCCGTAGCAGCAGATACCGCAGTCATCGAAACAGCCAAATAATCTCTCTAAAATAAGAGATACAGACAAACCTTGCATTGATAATTGATCTTAGACATTTTGACAAGATGCACCTACCGTTCCAATCATTCACTTCTGCCATGTTCTATGCGATTGACAGTTTTATCTGTTGATGTAAAGATTGCCTGTTGTTTTTTTCAAGAAAGTATTTCTTGCAGAAGTAACCGAGTCGTATAAGCAATGCTTGTCTTTCTGATTCTGTATGACGTCGCAACGATATATAAAAGTATGTGAAAAAATGAAAGAGACCGAATCGAATTTCTTTTTGTACCGTTCTGTCTCTTATTTGTGCTTCGATACACTCTATCCTTGAATAATTACGATTCTTCTTTTTCTGTTTTTATGCTTCAGATCTAAGCTTTACTTTCATGCTGCAAACATAAGTAAATACAACAGTGAATCAGAGAATCCAGCGGCTGCAAACTAGATGACAGTATTATTACTATTTGAAGTTATTATGTCAGTCTGAATTAAAATGAGTGGCAAAGAAAACCAGAACGAAAAGAAGACCATCGCCATCAACCCCCCAATCTCACTCTATTTGAGGTACAGGTAAGTGTTTCAAGCTTTAGTGATGCTGTTGTTAGTTTTGTGGCCGCTGTATATGTTGATTCTCTATCGCATATGCTAAAATCAGCGGCATGAAAGTAAAGCATGGATTAATAATATAAAACAGCAAACATGTCAGGATTATGGTAAGAAAGCTTGTAATATACATGTTCAACGAAATATTAGTTATATTTCGGGAGAACCTATGGAACTTTGAAGAAGAAACATCAATTAAAGCCATTCGGTCGAGTTTGTTTTTGTCATTCTAATCAATGAAAAAGAATCCTGTTGTTCTCAATCCTATTAGCATTTGACAATTTCGACTTTTTACAAGGAATCAAGCCAATTGGGTTTCTAAGGATATTTCATTTGTGAACAGTAATAGATTGTTTATTCTGAAGACATTGTTTCATAATCAAATACTCTGCTTAAAATTCATCTTGTTTAATAATTGATGAACGATATATCAGAGGAAAAGATCCATTGATTGGCTTTTTAAACAACGAAGTGTTTGTAATACGTGATAATCAAGAGTGATCGACGGGTGATCGTTGAAGAACCTGTTCAGAAGCACTTATTTTTCGAAATGAATGACTACTCTAATCAACCAGTACTTGCTCTCATCTGAATGAGAGATTTGTAAAAAATCAAAAAGAAAAATGAAGAATAGAAATAGGAAAAGAAATCCTTTTTTTTAAGAACATGATTCTTGAGATGATTTATCGAGAATTGAAGCTAGTTTTTTCCTTTTATGTTCATCAACGTTTTAATAGCGATTGCAATAAATGGATTCTGAAATTATATAAAGCATAATTAGACGATTGATGGTATTTAGCAGATATGTTTCGAATCAGAAGTGGTTGTGTCTCCTTTTGACGATAAAAAATTCATTTGAAATATAATACGATAAAGATAACTAAACCAGAGATGTCCATCGCGGCGCTGCCGCTGCCGCGGTGGCGGTGGCGGCGCGGCAGAGGCAGATTTTTAAAAAAAATCACCGCGGCAGCGGCGCGGTAGCGGCAGATTTTTTTAAAAGTCATCGCGGCAGCGGCGCGGTAGCGGCAGGTTTTTTAAAAAACCATCGCGGCAGCGGCGCGGCAGCAGCAGGATTTTTTTGGAGGACATTGAAAAACTGTATGAATTTAATAGAATTTCACGATTTACAAATGAAACGCCCTGATATTGAATAAATCTGATGGACTAGTACCCATATCTCTGGTCAAATATAGTCACAGCAGTGAAATTAGAAACACTTTTTTGAAAATCGTCGCGGCAGCGGCGCGGTGGCGGCACGTTTATTTTATAATTCATCGCGGCAGCGTTTCTTTTATAAGTCATCGCGGTGCGGCAGCGTCGCGGCAACATTTTTTTATAAACCGTCGCGGCGCGGCAGCGGTGCGGCAGCTTTTTTTTTCTAAGGCCGCGGCGCGGCAGCGGCAGATTTTCAGCCGCGATGGACATCTCTGAACTAAACTAGCAAGAATTTTCATTAGTAACTTGACTATGATCGTCAAAAAGTAATTGAAAAAGCTATGATACAATCATAGACAAATTTCTTTCATAATTTAGTTATTCACAACGGCGATAAGAAGCTAACACAAACACGACGCATTACCGCAAACTTCGATATTCTTTGAGTCCCGATAGTTTCAACCAATGAAAATTATGAAAAGCAGAAGATATTGTTGGATATGGCTTTCGTTAGCAACGAAAATCTTGCATTTATATGGATGTCGATGTGAATGTGGGTGCAACAGAAAAGACTCACATCATCATGCATCCACAACCAGATTTTATTTGTTACGTTAAAAACATTTTTAGAAAATCACTTAGATGGAAGCATATGATTTTTGTCTAAACACGAATGCTGTGGTCATTGAGTAGTGGGTTTCCTCTGATTGACGAATATGTGACCCCCAACTCTGCCGACGGAGTTTATTTGATGTCTCTGGTTTTGTTTACCAACATTTTTAGCGCTAGAATCGATTGGAATGTCTGCATTCATCGAAGGATTCTTTTGCTTGTTTTTTTTGGATTTTGCTGTTTTCGATTTTGTTTTACTAATGTCATTAGGTAATGAATTGCTTTTACTTCGATATGCTGTAATTTTTGAACATAAAGCCTTCTTATTAAAGAGATATTCCTAAAAAGACATAGTTTTTCTCTTTTACTCATCATTATGTAATAAGTAAACAACTAATCAGACCTGTAATTGTTCCATATTTGGTTGATGTATATCGATATTGATGTTATTCGGCTGTGAGCAGAATCGTTGTCGAGCATGAAAAAATACATGACGAATTCTTATCCATTCTATATAGCAACAATATCATCGATCGCTATAACCAATAGAAAATAAAATTTAGTACTAACTTTTCAGAAACAATGTATCAGCTAAATTATGAGTCAAAATAAATGGATCTTCAATAGCAATAGTTTGACGAAACCATCCTTTTTCCAAACGTGATAATGGTTCATATTGTCGAATAGTGACAATATTTTTTTCATAATCAAATAGTTCTGTATAATAACGTAACAATTCAATCCATAATTCACCTGATGATAATTTGTTCAATCCATAACCGTTCCATACTTTATTCTAAATAACAAAAACACCATCTCACGAAATAAAACAAAATTTTTAAATACAATCATAAATACGTACAAGTTGAGTTAAATCATCATAGAAGTAAATATTCCAATCAGCATATTTTCGAACATTCGAAGTGTTAGTTGATTGATTGTCATTCAACTAAAATTCGAAAGAACTAGAAAAAGTAAACAGATTTTTCGAGAAAAAATTTTTCACAAACTTGCTGCAGAATGGGTACCACAGGTGGTTGAATTTGTTGAAGAAAGTGTATCACCATAATAATATATGCATAGCTTGAGAGTGTTCCATGACTTGCATCACCGATATCGCATGTCTGAAATACCATATTTAGAAACAACTCAATACTCGATCTGACATTATGAGCTCTAGCTTGAATATAAACAGAAAACAAACTCATCATTTCTTACTTTTGCTAAAGTCTTCATTATAAAACCAAGTTCGCACACTCGTGGATCAATATCTGAATACATTTTCAGTAGTCGAGTATTTTCAATAGGCTAAATAGAAGATGTCATAGTAGATGAGATAGTTCTATCATTCCTCGACGAAAAAATATATCTATAATGCTTTTTTGAGAGATCCTATGCATTCGGAAAATGACGCACCAAAATATTATTTAGACTAATATCAATTTCGATGTTAGATTGAATATGTATTGATCGAATGATTGGTACTCTAGCACTTCGCATTATTTCAACACCTTTGAACATATTTTTATCGGATTCCATAGATTGAGCTAAGTTTTCTAGAACTTGAATTGTAGTTTCTTTTTTCTAGAATGTAAATAGAAATTCACTGGTTAATAGAAATGATTGAAATCAAATACAAACATTCGTTTCATAGAGAACGCAAACGTCGAGATCGCTTAGCTGAAAACCAAAACCATTATAGAATGAACCATATGCACGTACACTACAATTGGGATATTTTTTTCGAAATTCTGTTTCAAGATAATTTAAGATTGTTTCACGTTTTTCAATACATTCCTTGGTCGGTTTATATTTTTCTAAAAATGTACATAGCTAGCGAGAAGATAAAAAGTGATATTATATGAAAAATTTTACCTGTCATTTTTTGACAAAGACATGAGAGTATTTCAGACCAGTTTTTATTCACTTCTGGCACATCAACCATATTAGGTATAGATAATTCGGGACAATTAGACTTGGAATGGTTGCTTCTATAGCACACAGTACAGACTGTAGGGACACCCTAAACAATAAAACAAAAACATTATGTTAACATGGTTCATATGAAGAACTTCGTACTTTATCAGCTCCAAAGTTTTTTGCTTGAAATTCATGAATGACTTCAGCAGAATCATTGAGTGAGATTTCTTCCAGCGACGCCAGTATATCTGTGGAGATGATTTGATCAAGTCGAACTAACTGTAAATTAGTTGTTGTTGAAGAAGCAGAAACATGGAAGTATTCTGCAAGTTGCTGAGAAGAACATTCATCATTGGCATTATTAACAAAGGACAATACACTCGAATCAGATACTGGTAATATTTTGAAACCATAAACTATCGCTCGCATTTTTTCATTGAATTCACGAACTGTAAATAGATATACCAAATCGAAACTTATTAAAATCGAACAAAGAACGAATGAGAGAGTGAAAAGTGAAATTTAATATCGTTCGGAAGAAGCTGTTTATACAACTCAAAATTTAGTCTTTCCAGGTTGCATGTACTTCATAATTATGTTCTATAGAATGACATATAATTGTCCCTTCATCTCGTTCTTGTCAATTGCAATATAAAAACTCATTCAATATCAAGCTTTCTTCTTGTTTTTAGCGTGTTCACGTTAGCATAACTCTACGATTGTTGAATGAGGCCAACATTCGATAATGGTTCTTTAACAATCAAAATGTAAAAATACTGAAAATGCTATTTCACATTTTGTCACAGTTTTCTACGGGCAAAGTTCTAAACGACTCATATACCTATAAAATATCACAATCTATACAACTGAGACATTTTCTCATCTGACGTAGACATTGATAATTTAGCTGGGAAAAAAATATTTTGTTAATATTTTGCAGTCCTTAAAAAAATCAGCATACAACTAAAAATTTTAATAAATTTTCATTCAGTAACTGTAAAGAATTTCTGAAAACAAATGTCTTATTTATCACTACTTAAAAAGTTCTTTTCTAACTTGTCGAATATCATGATCGATTCCAACAAACTCAGTTCACTAGTACCTTGTCGTTGGTATTCTATTCTGAAAGTACGTTTTTGATTTTCATCGAGGTGTTCAGCGAGTGTCTCGAATGCTATGGGGTGTTCCATTATATCGTCTTCCACGCTGTGAGTATCATGTATGCCTTGTATGTTTTCGACTTGCTCATTGTTTGATCTAGAAAAATAAATATGAATCAAATATTCTGAATAATCAATTCAATGGTTTTCGTTCATTTACCTAACTGTTTCAATCTTATCAGTATCTTGTTCGTATGCTTCTATTTCATGATCAATAATAGTATCGTCAAGTGACATGCTAGCATTGACTTCAATTTTATTATCGTGACCATCTTCAGAATCTGTATCGAGATCATCCCGAGATGGTGCTTCAAGTTCGTCTTCACTAACAACTTCTTCGTCTGGTAATGGTAATAGATTGTTATCATTCAATTTAAGTTTGGGTTCAGGCCAAGGATTCAGCATGTTATCGAATGTTTGTTTATATGCTTGTTGTAGATCTTTCTGTGTGAAGTTCATCTTGCCGTTAACTTCTAATACTAAAGCAACAAACAAAGATTTGCAAGATCGTTGCACTTCTCTAATTATCGAATAGCTTTTCGTTTGTGCTTCTTTCTCATTTCGACAGAAATAATTCAATGCATTGTTGAATATTCGTCGAAAATATCTAACCGAGGAATTCACTTTCATTGTGTAAGATAAATTTTTATTGATGTATGTCGGATCTATAGGACAGAAGAAGAAGCTTCAAAATGCAAATTTCAGTTAATGTTACCTGCACAAAACAGATGCCGGCAAAGTTTTTGTTTTTCATTTTTTAGAATTGGCATTCGTGTTTGTATAGAAACGATGAATTGATTCATGTCGAATTTGAATACATAGTAAGAGAGTAATTGAAGAAAGAGTATTTCAACAGATGTGTTGTTTTTACTCTTCCATCTATTGGTATAGTCGTTGCAAATACGGAAAAATTCAATGTACTGATCGTTACTCGGTTTGATTAGTGCATTATCAACTCCAAATATCTTCAGTTATTGACAAAATAGACGAGATTTAGTGAAGATCAAAAACGAAAACTTACGTATTCATGCAGACAAGGCACAACTGGCTGTTGTATTTGTTGCAAAAAATGAATAAGCATAATATGAAAAACAATTGGATGAACAGTGCCCAGATCTGGTTTATCCAAAGAACATATCTGAATCGTAAAAGAAGGAAAGTCACAATTGACTATTTTACAGTCACAAAAAACTGACCTTGGCGAAAAATCGAAAAAGTCTTAGCAAATGAAGTACACGTAGATCGAATCTTGTGTAGAGACGAATTATTTCAGAACTATATATATCCCTAGAATGTAATTTGATGTTATTCGCATGCGAAATTTTGTTTCTGGTACAATGAAATCAATACAACATGGTTCATGATCTGTATTCAGGCGAATGTCTTGGTAAGAACCTAGTGAAAAATGAAATAGATGACGTTCTATACAAACATGCTATTGTATACCAGAATTACGAATGATTTCAAGTACTTCTCTTAGAGTACTGTAAGGTAAAAGTCCATCACATTGAACATCAATATCAATCAAAGCCGAGTCTTTCAAACAACAAGCAAAATATACGGAACCATACAGAGTAATTTGAGCATCTATTTGTAACAGAACCTAGATCATTAATTTACTAAACATATTGTGTATGCCGACTACCTGGTTTTTTGGCTTGGATAATAGTCCGTAATCCGTTATATAGGTGTAGTGCTTCTTCAAGACTAGGTCTGGACAAGAACTGCTCGATGACGACTCTATCAAAAACAGATTTCAAGGCTGCTAGATGGTTAGAGAATGCTTCTTTATTAGAGACTGCATTGAGATTTTTTTCTACCTAGAACGAATGAGATATTTTTTCAAAAGATGATCATCACTACAAACATAGGATTGCTCACTTTATTCTGAAAATAATAGTGTCTGTCTCTTTGTACATGATTGTTCAACTCCACTGAAATGAAAGAGACTGCATTTGATGAGATTCTAAAGTTTCTGAATAAATCTGTACCTGGTGCTTTTCCTTCGTATTGCAATCCTCTGCTTTGACGAGGCTTATTTTTAGTCAAAGATACAACCTGTGAAGCAAATGGAGGAATGAATAACCGAGGTGCGTTCTTTTGTTTCGAATTATTTGATACTAGCCTATGTTGTTGAGATTCTGGCAATCGTGACAAATCGTTTTCATTGTCTGTACCACCTTGAACCAAATTATCGATTCTTTTTTTGTCATTTTCTTGTTTCAATTTTGGTATTGATTCAGTCATTGCGTTTGAGTGTAATAAGACAAAAGAGAAATTCTCTAAAATAAAACGATAACCGCACTTGCTGCTCTTTATTCTAGAAATGTGGTAGACATACACCATAGATAAAGTATCTTATCTTTACTTTGATACTTCAAATATTGTTAACCAAATCAGTCTACGTAAAAAATATGTGGGATGACAACAGAACTTCGCGTAAATGTCTCAGATCCTTGCTTGTGCTTATAGAGACTGCTCGTTATCTTCTCGATTTCTTGAACAAACATATTATACAAGTGCTAATTCAGTTTTTTTAAATATTCTTTTACAACACCTTGTGCTGTAAAATGACGTATAGTGCAATCCGCATAGAGCAGTTATACATAATAGTTCTTTTCTTTCAAAAACATATTTTACCCTACGATTTGGTGAGAAAGATGACAAAAACAATAATTTTTTCTCAGTTTATTATCCAGATAAAGGTCATTACTGACGAAATTGATATATAAGATCTGTCGCCAGAAGATATGTATTTTGTTCACTAATAGTATATCTTTACATAATAAGTTAATCGAAAACTATTGAATTTCTTGTGAGACATTCGCATGAGTTAGTTTTCAGTCAATTTCTTTTCTACTAGAAAATGACTTTTTCTTCACAGAATTTGGACAGCTTCAATTTGACCATTTTTCAGCAAATCACATTCCTTCCGGCTGGTATCTACTTAGTGAAAATTGACGTAAAAACAAAGAAGAAATATGCGTTGAAAAAAGAAAGAAAAAAAAACAAGTTGATTGCTTTTTTTGTTCTTCTTAGGAGAAAAATGGAAACGTAATAGATTCTTTCTTTTCGCTACCGTCATTCGATTTCTGCTATTTTCTAATAATAGTTACTTATGATTGTCAAGATGTGGATGTGTTTGTGCATGACACGAAAACAATCACATCTAGTGTGTGGTTGTGGATTTGAAGGGAAATGTCGAACGCCCACATCCACACTCTACATATGAGTGTACAATTCTAATAACTGTAACTTACACTGACAACCAAATCTATTCACAATTGCATTCTCTTTATCCTTTTCAAGCAAGAAAACAAGACACATTCATATTCGCGCTAACGCACCTTTACTTTTATCGATAACGACAACACATTGTAAATATTTACCCACAGAACTCGAGTTTCTGCGATGAAAAAAGAAAAAAACGTCGAAGTGAAATGTAAATAATCATGAAGGAACAAGACACTTTCTTTTACTTTTTTGTTGTGTAATTGATTTCATTATTTCTTATTATTGTTAATCATTCCATTGCTAGGCTTGCTGGTGTTGTATATTTGTTTACTATCAATAGCATAGCGTTTATGTCCACATTCTCTATCAGCTCGTTAGTTGCTCATAACGAAAAACTTGATGTATATACTTGTAACAGGCAGACTTCGGCAGAAAGAATACACTATTGTTTCAAGAAAATTTATTTTGTTATAGTTAACAATGTAGACTGATTCAAATCAAATTTTGAATTAGTTTTTGATATATTCCTAGACATTGATTGAATCTCTCATGGTTGCACAAATGTTCAATTAACTTTGATGTTTTGTTTTTTCGATTTACTAAATTATCATTGAAATTATTGAATGATCCACACTAAAAACGTTTCTTAGAACAGACAAGATGCGTAAAAAAAAGTAACTTCGTTAACACAAAACAAAAGCAAATATCTCTGCTAGAATTTAACAATATTGATTGATTTTTTCAAACGAATAAAGCAATTTTCACACTTCATATTCATAAATAAAACATTAAATTCTGCTTTGAAATATCACCAATTTCTTTAAATATTAAGTTTATTTTTCTGTTTACTTCGAAAACTTAATGGAATAGTTTTTTTTTGAGACAAATTACTTTTGTTGCATGGCTAAAATCTTCAGAGTGTGCCGAATCATAAAAAATATGTGCTTTAAGTTTAAAAATAAAAGTACTAAAGCATGAAGAGTAATCGGAAAGGGTGGAGTGTGAGTGTGGGTATCGCCTTGTCTTCATTTACACTCACACCCACACCCCATACCCACACTCTCATGGGTGCGTGCTGCGCAAAACTACCGATAGAATGACTCCGGTGTCACACATATTTATTCTCAGGAGCAAATGCTTTTTTTCCTCTTGCGTTCTGTATTAGCGTAATTTTTATTATATGACAACGACAAAAAAAAAATTTACGAGCCTGTGAAGAAACAGAACAGAAAAAGTCGTAACTAGCTATATTTCTTAGTGAGTTAATAGAAACTGGCCTTCTAACAATGATGGAGGCAAATATTCAACAACAACAAAATGGCGTTTCTTGTGAAACGATGCATTGTGTGAGATTATCAGTTAAGGGTGTGAGAGAGCTCATTGTTAGGGTTGTGCGAGGATATGCGTGTAGATATATGTCTGCGTGAGGGTGAAAATGACGATAGGATATGTGGTTGGAGATATTGTAGTGGGTGAGCGTCTGAGGATGTATGTGAACTTGTCATTTGATAATTACTATTACCTTAAATAAAAATTTTATTCTTGGCCTAGCAACTTAGACGAGATTTTTTATGATCATAATAGACTTGCTAGGCAGAATGCTTTTCACGGCCCCCACAATGAGAGAGAAGCCTTGTTTATGTATTTCTGCTTTCATCATAAATTTCATTTTCTAAAACTCCATTTACCTCTAGAAAATTATCTGGCTGTCCAAAACACGTCAGATTTTGTGAAAATCCGTAAGAAACAACATATATTGCATGTGTGGTTTGTCGTTGGGTGTGGGGGGGGGGGGGGGTGTGTATGGATCAGGGTGTGCCTATGTTCTTTATTCGCATCCACACCCCACACCCACACTCACAACCTTATTATCTTAAAATAGTATGATTTTAGATATTAGAATATCATGTTTTTTTGTTCTTTTTAAATGCTTCTAGCACATGCTTCGAAAGGGTCCGACGAACCAGATTCATAAACGTATGGACTCGATGTATTTAATATGCTACATCTGGTTATATGTGAGTCGCATGTTTAACATTCAGTAGCCAACTTTGGATGTATGGGATGTTGATTGCACTTGGGAGAGTTGCAACAAAAATATTCTTCTAATATTGAATATCCATCTGTGACTGCGGCATTGTAACTAGGGAGACAATGCTTCTTGTATGACT